CCAACCCAGACCTTGCCCATGCTGGGCAAGCGCTCTACCACTGAGCTATACCCCCAGCCCTTGTTCTGGACATTTTGAGTGTTCTCATCTCTGGGAAGGCACAAGCTTCATGGGACAGGGACTGTGTGCCCAGCAGCTGGGGCAGTGGGTATATGCACACACTTGAACCAAGTCTATGTTTGACCAGGTGTCCACAAGAGGCCACCTGGCGGTCAGCCTGCCTGGCGACCATCAAGCCAGGGCCTAGCAGTCCTGGTGGGTCCCAAGGGGCCACTGTGTCAGCTGGCCTGCACCAGCTGGTGGTCTGGGAGGATCGGTCAGGACGAGCCACGCTTTAGTGAAAGCACTAAGTCCAGACCTCAGTGGGCTGTTAGCACACTCTTGTTTGTTCTGGCAGTGGAGTGTGTAGGCAGGCGTCTGATGAGTCCCCTTCTCCACCAGCTCCCCGCTGCCCAGCCAGCCTCTGCTGGACCTGGATGGCCTGGAGCTGCTTCTGTCTAGTGAGGCCACAGGGCTGTTCTGAGCAGGATACTGGCGGAGGGCATATGGTTGGCCTGGCTAGGGCTGGCCTCAGTGGGCACCCCTGACTCTCTGCTGTCTTCCACCTGGATAGCCAGAAGCCACGAGAGGAGGCTGGCCTGGGAGGTCAGGTACTTTATGGAAGTTTGTGCCTGCAGGCCACTAGAGAACTGGAAAGGGAATATGGTTCAGCCTCTGGGATCTTGGGGAAGTGAAGAGGGAGAGCTGGGGTGGGGCCAGCTTCTGCAGCCAGGATGGTAGGAAGAACAACCCTCCACGCCATTGGAGGCTGCTTGCTCACCCTGGGGCCCGAAGAAGTGCTCCAGCCCAGGATTCCCAGACCTGCGTGTTGCCTGTCACAGGGAGGAGGACCTCTTTGTTCCAAACCCCGAGGAAGCAGAAGCTTCTACCAGCCTGTTCTACTGCCTTACCCACCCTGACCTCTCTGTTCTCTTATCTGTAACGTGAAGCACACTCTCTGGGTTGTTGGTGAGTGTTGGAGACACTTTGAAATGGTGGTATAACTTTTTTGTTATTTAGTACTTGTTCATTGCAATTGCATTAGGAGAATAAGCCCGAATTTCACAAATGGTCTTGCCTAGTCTGAGTTGAAGTGTGAACAGTAAGTTCACCTAAGCAGGAGATAAGGGGGAATAGGAAATGAGTGGCAGCTTGTGCTACACGAGGGCAAAGATAGCACCATGGGGACACAATTACGGGATAAAGTCAGGGAAGGGGATGCTCTGGGCACTGCTGTGTCTGTGGCCTGGTATGGAGCTACCTCCCAGGGCTCATGATACCTCCACCCCCACCACCCCACTTGGTTTCCGGGATCTCATTGGGCAGGGGACAGGCAGCCTCAGATCACACTGGTGACTGAAAGCTCAATTCAAGTTCTAAAAATAGAACCAGAGGCATACACATGAGTCTCCATCCACCCCCACCCAGTGCAGAATATTTCCAAAGGAAATTGCTCTTCTTACCTCATTGTGTGGTATAGTGCATGGCCATAGTGCTTTTTGTCCCTTCACTAATTCCTTGAGTGGAATAGACTGTGCTTTTCTGGCTCACTGCATGAACTGGAACGCCTGCCACCTAGTTGGGCATCTATTCCCGTAAGCCAGCCACTTTTGTCGCAGTTAGTGACTGGTGGCTCAGGTTGGACTGCCAGAGAGAAGCCCCTGTAGACTTTTTGAAGGCTCTTGGAGCAAATGACCCTTCCTGCACTTTGTGGGGAGCCCAGCTTTACCCTGCTGTTTGGAGGGCCCTCTAACCCTTCCCTGCCAGCCATTCCGGGCTGGAGCCACAGGCTGGGAACTGAGTGGGCCTGGGCCGATTGGGGCAGCCAGACCTGGCCCCAAAACTGCCTATTCTCATCAGGAATTGCCATCTGCTTCTAGGCAAATGATTTTTCTCCCAAGCTAAGCCAGGAAATGTGTTGAGAGCTTCAGGTACAGCCATGTCCTCACAGCCTGGTGTGCAGTGCAGATGAATTCTCTGGCAGAGGAAACTGCAGAGAGCTTGGCACAGAGCATGAAGCTGAGGCCTAGCAGCTCTGGGACCCTCTGGTCTCCTGGTTCCTGGATTGCCCCCAGTGCTCACCTGTTACCTTCACAGCCGGACTGGCCTCCCTGACTGTGCTCCCCTCCACGTACACGTGGAGTCTGCTCCAGGTTCCGCCATCTTCCCCTCTGCCCCAGCCTCAAGGCGTCTAGCCTTGGCAGGCCCATCCTCTTCCTGGAATGGTCTTCCTTCCCGCTTCTCTCAGATCACTGAGGCTTCCTTTCCTCACTGCAGCCCCCATGCTTCCTCCCAGAGATTCTCACAGTGTCTGCCTTGGTTTGCTCCTTTCTTCCCCACTGTCTACAAGCCCCAGAGCTGTGGACTGCTCAGTGTGAGTAGCCACTCACAGCAGCCTTGTACAAGGAGGTAGAGGAGGGGTCCCCATCACATCTCAAAGGAGAAGACTCAGGTCTGTCTGCGGCCCCATTCCAGCCTTCCTCTAGGAGACTGCAGCTCTTTTAATAGCCACTGCTGATCCTGGAGAACTCATAGTAAGTGGCCTAGGCCTGCCAGTGGGGCAGCGTCCTAGCCCACAAGAGTACTTTCTCCGCACTTCATCCTCACACACACTGTTCCCTGGGCGGCCCTGCCTTGCCTGGGCTTGCCTCTGTCACCCCTCCCCTTACAACACTCTGCTGCCTGCACACAGGGGAGTGTGGGAGGCTACCCAGGCTGGGTGTGTGTTTGTGAACAAACTTGATGTCCTCAGTGGCTGGGTCTGCAGAGTCTCAGGGCTGCCTAGAGGGTGCGATATGGCCCTCTCTCACAACACAGGGTATGTATGATGCCTGCCTGGCTCCATAGCAGCCTGACCCTGGACCAAAGCCAGCGGTTCCATCTAGAGGTATAGGGAGACCTTGAGCCAGGCAGCAGAAGGATGAAGAGGGTGGTGGTGGGTGGAAAGCCAGGGGTGTGGGCAGCATTACCAGCAGCTAGGTTTGCTCTGACACATATGTACCACTGTGACAGTCACTTGCAGTCCTCTGCCTTGGTGCTTGTTCCTAGGCCTTCTCCCTTCCCCTCTGGCCCATCTCAGCAGACTAAACTTGGGCAGAACAAGAGGAAAAGAAGGTAAAAGCAAAAATAAAAGTACATGCTGCATCTGAGAGACACAGCATGGGCTATCGTGGGAAGTCACAATAGCAAGCTCTCCGTGGCGTCTAGTCTTCTTTTATGCCTTTCACATCTCGTGGGAGCCTGTGAGAAGTTCCACATATGGGGTCCTAAGAATTATTTGGTGCTGTCCTGGGTTTTTATTTGTAATTTCCCCAGCCGGCTTTGCAATGCCCTGTCTCCTATATCAAGGCCAGTGAGAGAAAAAAGGTGGTGGAATCATTCTGCTCAGAAGAGGCTGGCAAATGAATATACTCAGATGGATGGACAGATGTGCAGATGGGTGGGTGGATAGATTGATGGCGTATGGGTGGATGCAGAATGGTAAGTGTAGGCTGGTGGGTAGATGAGTGGATAAGTAGATGGGTGGGTGGATGGGAAGATGGATGGGTGGGCTCGTGGACTGAATAATTCTTGTGCATGGATAGGGTGGATGGGGAAGTGGGTAGATGGTGGATGGATGCATGCATGCTTGCATGTGAACGGATGGGTGGGTGGATGGATAAATGGGTGGGTGAGTGGCTGGCTGGCTGGTAGAGGTGGGTAAGTGGATGGATGGATAGGTCAATGTGTGGATGGACAGAAGGATGGGGGTGGATGAATGGATGCACAGAAAGGCGAGTGAGTGCATTGGGGGTGGTCAGTGAGCTGCTTTTGCTGGGAAGGACCTGCTGCAGCGTAGGAGCAGTTTCTCTGTGCGAGCTGCAGACCGCCATGTCTCCTGCAAGTGCCTTGATGGTGGAGACGATGGGAAGTGCATTTGGCTCATGCATTCATTGTCCCCACACACGTCCTTTCCCTTCCACTGCCTTCCTCTCACCAGTGCTCACTCCCTGCTAATGAGGCCCAGGTCCCTGCCAGCATTCTACCTGCTCTGCGGGCCTTCCAGCAGGGACCATTGGAAAGGTGGCACCTCCACCCACTGATGAGCCCTGTAGTCACCCCTTCCAGTCAGCCCACCAACTCAGAGCGAGGGTTGCAATGCCTCGGCCTCAAACGGAGCCTAATGAGGGGACTTGGTGGGTAAAGGAGGACATGAAAAGGACTTCAAACTCAGATCAGCTGTCCAGATGTGGCTTTGCCCGTGTAGGGGCTAATCAATAATGCAGCCTCAGGCTCTGAGTCTGCTGGGATAATGGAGTGTCCAAATTCGTGTATGGCACGCCACAGGTGCTGGACACTAGGTACCAAGACTTGCTGTGCTGCCTGCTCTGCACATGCACCCTCTCTGAGCCTCTCTTTCCTCCAGAGTACAAGTTGCTCACTGGACAGGACCAGAGTTAGAACACTGGTGGCCCTTGGGTTGCATCAAGCCTGTTAATGTGCAGTCTCAAATGTTCTATCTGTCCATCTCTCTGTGTGTGTGTGTGTGTGTGTGTGTGTCTGTCTGTCTGTCTGTCTGTCTGTCTGTCCCCCCTACCCTACTCTCTCTTTTGTGGTACTAAGTATTGAACCATTGAACCCAGGGTCTTTGTACTGAGCTATATCCCTAGACCTTTTTTGGAGACAGGCTTTACATTACCCAGGCTGTACTTGAATTTGCAATTCTCCTGCCTTAGCCTCTCAGAGTGCTGGGATTGACAGGTGTGCACCACTGTGGATTTCTGGCTTCTTTTGAAAACCAAAATTCTGGCAGGCCTGGGTACTGTTTCTGTCCCCATCCCAATGGCAGCGAGAACTGGAAAGTGCCTTCCAGGTGGCCCAGGCTCCATCTGGAGCTGCTTCAGAGGGCTCTGAGTGTGTGTGGTCTCAAGTACTTGTCTATGTGCAATGACGAGCTGTCTCTCCCTGTCCCCCGCCTGCAGCTTTACACAGGCCATGCTGAGCCAGCCCAAGATGGAGGGCCTGGATAACCCTACCACCTACTGCCTGGGCATTGCACTCCTGAGTGTGGGCACCATGTTTGTGCTTTCCAGTTTCTTCGCACTGGGGTTCACTGGAACCTTCCTAGGTAAGACCATCCAGGGAGAAGTGGGGCACAGTAGCCACCACTTGTAACCTGTGATGTCCCTGGGGGGCAGAGAAGACCCAGCCATCACCCTACTCCATTGTGGGAGATAGCAGGGGGTGGAGGGACCTTGTCCCCTCTCCCTCCCCACAGCCCATGGCACTGGTTCTTCTGGACTGGGAGCCCAGTGCTGGCCTGGTCAGAGGCTGCCTGCCACATGATAGCTGCTGCTTCCAAGCCTTGGGGGTTTAGGGGGAAAAGCAGCCGAGGGGGAACACCAACAGTGGGGCTGGAGGGCAAGGAGTGCTTGGGAGCAAGGGCTAAAAGAAGGTGGCAGCCCCATCCACAAAGGGAACCTGTCCTAGTGTACAGGCTGCACCCAGGAGTTAGCACAGCTGCCGAGGTGCCCAAAAGGGCTGGAAGGCCTGGTCCTCCCCTCCTTGGCCTTAGCCTCTTCCAGGGCCCAGTAGTGCTCTACAGAGCCTGGCCAATTTGCCCAGTGTCCCTGTGCACAGAGGGCTTGGGCTCTCAGCAGGAGACTCTGCTGTCCAGTATTATATGCTCAGCACTGATAATGCCCTGAAAGAGCAAGTGACCTTTGAGTTTGGCATCCTGGATCGCTTGTGGTGGCACCTGCAGCACTGGGGTGTTAGTGTGGGTCATGGCTTCTTGCTCAGGCAGAAGCTGCAGGAAGTCATCCTGGAAGAGGGCCTGGGAAGAGCAGGGCGAAGTCCTGGAGCTGGAAGGTGCGTGCAGGGAGCAGAGAGGCGGTCAAGTGAGGTGGCAGGGACTGTGGCTGCCCAGGGGCGTGGTAGGGCAGGGTTGGAGGTCAGGCAGAGGTCCTGAAGGTCACACATGGGACTGAGGCTTCCATCCCAGAGAGATGCAAGTCATGGAAGGGGTCCCAGCAATGAACAGCAGGGACCAGTAGGGCTGCTTGGACTATTTGGTCTTTCTTGCAGAGCTTGGGGATAAGGAGTGATAGGAAGGGACTCCTCCAGCTGGGGGCGAGGAAAGGCTGGGCTGCCTGGGGAGGAGACACAGTGCTTTCCTCTGGAAGAGCTGGGCAGCGCTGGGGTATGCACACAGGCTGGTGCAGCTCGGGTGGGGTGGGAAAGAGCAGCCCTGGGATGTCCTCCCCAGTGGACGTGGCCTAGAAACACCCGAGGGACCAGCAGGCTTTGGATGTAGGGCAAGGCAGTCACTTCCCTATGAGTCAGCCTAAAGCGGGTTTTTGTGCCACCTGCCTCCAGGCCCCACTACCCCATTTCCTGCTTCCTTCAAAGAAAGAGGCTCTCTGGGCAGCTCCACAGGCCCTCTGTCCCCAACAATGGGTGATGCATTGCCCACCAGGTCCTTCCTGCCAGTGGCTTCCCACTGTCGGTCTGGCTGCCCTACTTTCTGCCTAGGATGAAGCTGCATTGTCCTCTGGCATGATGGGAGACAAAGGAGGGGTGTCTGGGGAGAGGAGCCCAGAAGGGTGCAGCAGCATACTTTACTGAGCCCTGTGGCAACAGTCACCGTGCAGAGGCCTCTGCCAGGCACTTTGTATCTTTGATCCCACCATTGCTTCCTCCTGCTTAGAGTGGCTGTGAAGAAAACTTGTTCCTGGGTGGTAGGTGACCAGGTGGCTGGCTGACTGATGGTCCACTACTAGGCCTGAGTCCCCAGAGACATGGGAGGCCTGTGGTGGGCAGGCCTGGAGCCACAGCCACGGCCGCCCAAGGCAGAGCTGAGCAGCCGGGCCAAGGGTGAAGAGAAAGGAAGGACGGGGCATCCTGTTTTTGGAGAGGAGTCGGACTTGGCTCCAAAGGTGATGTGAGCAGAGGTAGAGAGGCTATCCTAGGTGAGGGAACAGCATGTATGAAGACATAGAGATAGGAGCAAGGGGAAGACCAGGATCACTGGAAGAGCAGAGCAGGTGATGGCACAGATGTGGGGGCTCAGCAGCCTGGGGACCCACGCTCTTTTGGGTGCCTGTGAGCTTGTGGTGGCCCCTGTGTGTTGTCCACCTGGCTCCGTGTGTGTTAGCAGCCTCCTGGAGGTCAGGCAGGGACTTCCCTTACCTGCAGCCATGCCAAAGCCCATTCTAGAGTCCTGTCTCAGTTACGGGTGACTAGGGCAACCATTGGCGGAGAGACCTCCCTCCCTGCCCCTCCTTGTCCACAGGTGATTATTTCGGGATCCTCAAGGAGGCCAGAGTGACCACATTCCCCTTCAGCATCGCAGACAACCCCATGTACTGGGGAAGCACAGCCAACTACCTGGGCTGGGCCCTCATGTGAGTACCAGGCGCCATGCCTCTCCTGCTGGCGGCCACGAGGGAGGGGAGGCCCGGAAGGCCCTGAGGAGGGGCTGGGCCAGTCTTCTATGGGAACTTCATTGCCCACAAGCCTCTTATCTATGGTAACAGAACAACCTCCTAGATCATGGCTTGGTGAGCTTTCTCATAAAAGGTGGGATTTGAGGCTTGAGTTTCCCAACAGGTCACAGCTACTTGGCTGTGCCCGGTGCAGAGACTTCGGGCAATGGAAGGCAAGGTGTGGGCCACATGGCTCCACTTATGGACATTGATGTGCCATGAAATAGTCTTTGGATTCTCACTTTTAACTATTTAAAAATGTAAAAAGCATTTTCAGTCTGTGGGCTGGAGTTTTTGGTAAGCCCTGAGCTAGCAGCTTAGGACTGAGAAAGCCCCACACAGCAGGGAGCCTGAGGGAGTCTGGCCCACCACAGCCCCTGAGCCACCAAGTGTTGCCAAGGGTAACTGGTCTGGGCACAGGGTGCCAGGTGCCCTCCCCTGCCAGAGAGGAGACCCCAGGCAGTGCGGGGTGGTCCCCTGGGCTGCTGGCTGCTGTGGCGGTATAAACATGACTAGGCTGTGGGGACATATGCCCATGGATCAGAGATGCCGTGCTGAAGGGGGCATTGGGAGCTACTTGGCTAGAGTTATACATAGTTCCAGAGACCAGAGAGGCTCTAGGACCCCAAAAGACTGGATCTCAAAAGGTGGGATGTCAAGAGCATCATCCCCTGAATGCCCCAGTGTCCCCTCCCCCAGCTGCAGGGACCACTCATCACAGCCCTGGGGTCACAGCTGGTGCGGTTTGAGTGCCAATAAACTGGAAGAGGCTTAGGGGTCTGGTTGGGACCTGTCCGGCCCCAGCCCAGTGTTCAGACCAGATCGTCCCTGACCCTGCAGCCTTAGCTGTGGACTGTCACTCTCACCTACCTTTAGCCCAACCACTCACCTGAACCTGGCAGTGGACCCATGAGGGGCAGACGGTGAGCTCCCTGCCTTGCCCACTCCACAGAGCATCTCTTCTTGGAGTCCCCAGGATGAGTCCAAACTGAGACAGCCCAGCTCTCCTGGCAGCCTCCTGGCTCCCTAACATGCCCAGCCCTTCTCTGTTGGTGCACACAGTGTGTATGCATGCACAAACACACACACACACACACACACACACACACACACAAACCCGGTGTCCTGTGCCTACAGCCCTCCCACTCTGTCCCTAGTTGATCCCTCCAACTCAGCCCTCTCTGACCCCTGGCTGCCTCCTCTGAGCTCTGGGCCCTCTGTGCTGGAGTCAGCAGTTAATGGTTCATCAGCTCTGCAGGGGCCGAGCCCACAGGTGTCTCCACCTGTGCCTGGTGCTCAAGAGTGCACATCACCCTGGGCTCAGGCTGGCTAGGCCGGGGCTCTCAGGGACATGTGGCTTTCCGAGAGACACCTGTGTCTGGAGGTGGGGTGGAAAGAAGCAGTCATTAGGAGGCCGGTTTATGGGTTTGGGGCCCTTGGGCTGAGGGCTCATTAGAGATGGGCCATTACCTGGCTGCCCGACGCTGACACAGCAGGATGCAGCCAGCTTTCCACATCCCATGTGTCTCCTGCCTCCTGGGGCCCATGGATGGGGCTTCCCACTGCCCAAGAACCCAGCTGTACTAGGCTGAACCAGGGATTCCTGGGGAACACAGGCTGGGTGCAGGCCCCGGGTCCCGTTCTCTCCAGGCCTCCACCTCCCAACCCTCCAGCAAAGCCGCCCAGTCAGGGACTGGTTTCCTCACCTAGGGAGTAGGACCATCACCCCACACTGAGTTGTTAGGGGGACAAGCTGGACCAAGGGTGACAGCAGGTGGAGGTTTCATGGAGATGGTCACTGCGTGACTAGGACAGCAGCTGAGGGCCAGGCTTCTCCCTGAACCCTTGCTAGGGACAAAGTGCCTCTTCAGCCAAGAGGGAGAGGTGACTGTCAGGGGTGCTTATGGCTATGACCCTCTCCTCACAGGCCAGGAGACAGACGTTGAGAGCCATGTCTGCTGGGATGAAGGATTGGACCCCATTCCCTAGTTTCTTCCACCCCTAGTTTCTTCCACCATTCCACATTCAAAGCTTGTGAAAACCCTCTGAGTAAAAGGACAGTGAAGACAGGAACTCTAGAGCCCTTGGGACCTGCTTCTCTGGAGCGGCCCAAGTTGCGCCCGGAAAGAGTTTAGCTCAAGCCCTGCCCCTGCGCAGGCTGTCTGTCCCTGGCCGCAGTGGTTCTCAGGTAGTTTTACATCTTGAGCAAGGGAACACCAGTCCCGTGGTGGTCTGGTGGGAGCAGGCGGCTGGGAGCAGAGCCTATGGTGGGGTGGCCAAGGAGGGCAGATGCCCCTGAGGCCCCGGGGCCTGGCCTCTGCTGCCCACTGTGTCTCTCAGACACTCCCTCCTATCTCCTGCTTGCTGATCTGGACACAGCAACCCAGCCCTGCAGGAGCCATGGAATCAGAGGTAACTATAGAAATAGATGGGTGGGCAGTAGCTATTTCTGGAATCCTGAGGCAGATGTGCTCAGGCTTCTCGGTGCTATCTCTAATAAGCTCCCCATGCTCATTGGCACAGCAAGGTCAGAGGCTGGTCACCAGCAGAGAGCTCGTGACAGACACTGTCCAGCCCTGGGTCTGCGGAACAGTCTGCCCGGGTTGCCTGTCCTCTGGGAGGGGCTCCCAGGGTGTGCCTGGAGCCCACAATGAAGAAGTGGCTGTGCAGACCCATGTATGACACTCTTGTCATCCCCCAACCCCCAGGCCCTACAGCCAGAGCTTCCCAGGGTGATGACTGTGGGGCTGCCTCGTGAGCAGGGGCCAGGACTCAGGTGGCAGCACCTCCTTCCTCCCTCTTTTCCTTTCTTCTTCTCTTCCTTTCTCCTTCCTCCCTCCTTCCTGATTCCCTCCTGCTGTCCTGAGTTCCGGGCTGGGGGCCGAGATGAGGAAGGAAGGAGCAGCCCCATCTTGGGGGAACCCAGCAAGCCAGGTGGGCAGACCAGGAGACACGCACCCCGGTTCTTGCTAGAAAGCTGGACTTGAGAAGCGGGACAACCTGGCCCAGCCCATTCCATCCGGTGGCCCATCGTCAGCCCGAGGGCCCACGGTGGCGGCAGGAAGGGCTGGGTCCCGCTGACTTGGGCTTGTCTTTGCAGGCACGCCAGTCCCACGGGCCTGCTGCTGACAGTGGTGGTGGCCCTGGTCTACGTGGTGGCCATCCTGTATGAGGAGTGAGTAGGGACGGTGGTAGGGGTTATCTGTGTGACAGCTGAGCCAGCCGAACCTCTCCCTTGAGGACCTTTCCCTGAGGTCAGGCTGCTACTGGCTGGGCCACACTGGGTGGGTCATAGGTCAGGAAGCTCAGAGGGGGCACATCTGAGAGATGCTGGGCCTGCGAGGCGCAGCAGATAGGCAGGTGATCCTGGCCCCTCCCACTGTCTGAAGGCTCCAAGCAGCTATGGGGGACAGTGGGGGTTGGAGTCTCATCTGTCTTGGGAAGGGACAGTCTGTACTTATGTGGGCAGGACCTGGGCAGGGATCTGTGCCAGGGTAGGGATCAGCACCCCGACCAGCTGTCTGAACTGCCCTTCCAACCCTGCAGGCCCTTCACCGCAGAGATCTACCGTCAAAAAGCTGCCGAGTCCCATCGGAGAAGATGACGGGGCTGCAGTGGCTCTACAATGGACCTGGCTTGGCCCCTCCTGTCCCAGGGCCCCAGCCTTGCTCCGGGGAGAGCAGCACCTGGCCATTGCTCCTTGCCCGTGCCTAGCGTGGGCCACTCCAGTGCCTTGGAAACCACTGCCTTGGGGTCCTGGACAATGCTGCCATGTGGCCACCAAGCCTGCTGCCCCCCGCTGCCCCCACTTTTCCTACTCACCAATAAAGGCACCCTGACCCCAGCACCCCCTCTGTTCTCTCCATCCTTGTCCTCATCTTCGGGGGAAAATAAGCTCGGGGCTCTGGGAGGACAGAGCTGGAGCAGGGCAAGCCTTGGGTGGCAGAACCTCTCCCCCTCCTCTCTCCCTCTCTACCTCCCTCCTTCCCTCTCAGAGCAGGATGTCCCTTGAGGGCTACGGGACCAGGGTGGCCTCCCAGTGCCAGGAGGCAGCTGCACTCCAGGCCTCGGAAGTCATGTGTCTCACTGGGCCATGGCTGCAGTTTGACTCCCAGGTAGTTTGATATCCATACCTGCCGTCAGCCCCTGCCCAGCACCCCCAGAAACCCCTGCACTGCCCCCCTTCTCTGGTTCCCTCTTGGTGGACAGAGGGTACTGAGACCACAGAGCCAGGCTGTCACTTACCTGTGTCCTCATCATCCCAGGTGCCCTGCGGGCAGCCCTGAGGTCTGCACCAGAGTGCCCTCAGCCTGAGCTAGGAGCAGGAACAGCCATTTGCCAGTACCAGAGTCCTCTGGGTCGCCTTCCCTGTTCCCCTGAGGGGATGCTTGGCACCAGGAGGTACCCAGAGAGGCTCAGCCCTTAGTAGCCTCCACGTGCTGGGGCCTGCTCCACCTGTCTCCCTGTCAGGCCCAGCATTTGCCATAGCTGGCTTTATTTTTAGCTCCTCAGTGTCACTATGTGGGCCGTAGGAGGAGGAATCCTGGACCCCCCACAACCAGCAGGCCCAACCTGACTGACCTAGTTCCTTTAGTCTCCTGCCAGCCTCCCTTTCTTTGCACTGTGGGATGTGTCCCCAAGACATCACCACCCCCACATTGCTCAGGACACCCCAGCAGCCCCCCATTATTCTTGCGATAGAATCTCAGCCAGTATCCTGACTGAGATGGAATTCACATACAAGTTCTCAGGGCCAGGGATTTAGCTCAGCGGTTCCGCCTCCTGCCTTGCAAGCGTAAAGACCAAGTTTGATCCCAGGTACCAAAAAAAAAAAACATATAGAAGTTGTCTACCCAAGCAAACAATGTGATGGCTTTTAGTTTATCCACAAGATTGTGCAATCATCACCACAGTCCTGTGTGACTGACAGTCCATCACCTCTTGCCCCTTAGCTGTCATCTGACAAATCTCCAGTGTTGACAACCACTCTGCTTTTCTCTCTCTGGATTTGTCGACTGGACATTTCATATAAATAGAATCACAGGACAGTATTTGCCCTCTTGTGTCTGGTTTTTCACTTAACATGGTGTCTTTTTTGCTTAACATAGGGCTGGAGATTTGAACCCAGGGCCTTGCACATGCCAAGCAAGTGCTCTACCCCTGAGCTACACCCTCGACCCAGCATTGTCTTCGAAGTTCAGCCACGTCGTACCATGGATCATGTGTCAGGCCCTGTTTTAGTCTGCAATTTTGTTGCTATAACAGAATATCACAGATTAATTTATAAATAAAGGTTCATTTGGTTCCTGGCTCTGAAGGCTGGGAAGTTCAAGGTTGGACGGCCAGCCTTCTGTCACTATAACAAAATACCTGAGAGATAATAAAGATAAAAGGTTTACCCAGCTCACAGTCGCAGACTTTCCTCTCCATGATCAGTCAGACCTGTTGCTTTGGACCTTTGGTAAGGCAGCACTTTGTGGATGGAGGGCGTCTCACCTCAACACCAGGAAACAGAATGAAGACGAGGTCAAGGTCCAATGACCCCTTTCAAGGGAACACCCTTAATAACCTAGGGACCTCCCACACGGCTTCACTCCTTAAAGGATCTGCTACCTCCCATTGCACCATCCTGGGGCCAGGCCTTTAACCCGAGCTTCTGGGGGACACTGAACATTCAAGCGATAGCAGGTGGCCGTATCTGGTGAGGACTTTCTTGCCAGCAAAAAATGCAGTCCCAAGGTGATGCAGAGCATCACATGGTTAGACAGCATTCTGGTTTACGTCTTTCCTCCTCTTCTTTCTTACAAAGTCACAATCCCTTTGGACTACAGGCCTCATTTAACTGCACTGCCTCCCAAAGGTTCCTCCTCATAACACTACAGTTGGATCAAATTTCCATCCCCTAATACCTCCCATGGGGATTAAATTTCACCATGCATTTTGGGGGGCCTTCAAGCCATAGAGGTACCTCTTTCCTTATGGCTGAAAGTATCCCGTTGTATGGATGGACCACATTTTGTTTATCCATTCATCAACTGATGGACACTTGGGTTATTTCCACCTTTAGTCTGTTGCAAATATACGGCTGTGAGCTTTTGTCTACGGTTTTTATGTGGACACAGTTCATTCGTCTGGGTATCTGCCTGCCTAGGAGTGAAATTGCTGGGTCCCATGGTGACTCATGTTTGGCATTTGAAGTAACTGCTAGACAATTTTTCATAATGTCTGCATCATTTCACAGTCTCATTTCAATAGCTTTTAAAAAAAAATCAACATCAGTGCATTTCCTGTGGATCTCCTGGCTGACCATTTCTAATCCTGTTCTGTGGTGGGTTCACTGGGACTACAGTAAATGGTGTATTTGCACAGTTGGTGGGGGCTGTGTTAGTCAGCTTTCCATTACTGTAACAAAATACCTGAGATGATGATGAACTTATTTAAAAGAAGGAAAGATTTATTTTGTTTCTTGTTTTTATTTTTTTTGGTACCGGAGAGCAAACACATGACCTTGCACTTGCGAGGCAGGTGGCGGCACCACTGAGCTAAATAAATCCCCAGCTGGTTCATGGTTTTAGAGCTTTCAGTCTGTGACCGTTCGGTGCTTTGAGCCTGTGGTGACGGTACATCCTGGTGGTTGCATATGGCAGAGGAAGCAGAGAAAGGAAGAGCCGTGATCCCAACATCCCCTGCAAGGCCACGATCCCAGTGAACCAGTTGCCTCCACCCAGGCTTCATTTCCTAAAGGCTCCATAAAGGCTCCATTGCCCCCGGCAGCATCATAGTTTGGGGCCCACACCTTTACCACAAGGGCCTTAGAAGGACTCTAGATGCAAACTACAGCAGCAGAAGTAGAGTAAGCTGTGAGGTGGGCATGAGGCAGAGAAAAGCCTATAAGCCTAGTCTTCAAGGCGCGAGGGCCGCCCGAGGCCCTTCACTCACCCTGCCCTCTGTGTTCCCGGGGATCCAATACCCGGGTCTGCCTGGGTTCTCACAGCTGAGGTACTCAGAAGCCCAGGGCCTGGACCCCTTCCCTCAGCAGTTTCCTTCCTAACAGCCCAAGTGTCCATCAGCAGGAACCATCCACACACCATGGGCTCCTCTGCAGTGAGGAAAAGGAGCACAGCTGATGGCTGGGTGGATGTCACACACCTGTGTGACAGAAGCCAGCTTGGTTGGGAGAGGGAATTGGCTGGGTGGGGACCCCCGAGGCATCTCAGGGGTCTGGGCCTGTCTCATGCTTTGATGGGAGAGAGATGAACAGTTGTGAGAACTCGTGGACTTCTTCCCACTGTTGGCTTTGGATGTACGTATCTTTGCTGGAGCTAAGGTATGACGAGTGGACCCGCATGAGAGTGCCAAAGTTTGACTGTTTTGTTTTGTGAGACAGGGTCTCGGTCTCACTATGCAGTTCAGGCTGGCCTCGAACTCCCAGCAATCTGCCTGCCTCCGCCTCCTGCACGCTGGGATTACAGGCATGTGCCATCATGCCTGGCCAGCTTGGCCATTTCTAACTCATAATAACAGTGCTATGGTAGGATTCAGACCAATCCCTTAAGGAGTGGAGAGCCTCAGGCAAGCCCTGCTCCCACACCACCTATGGTCCGCACTGTGGCCCTCCTGGGCCTGGGTCCTGCAGTGTCACGGTGGAGCCCAGCCAGGACAGTGCTCCTGCATGCAAGTCCACAGGTCTCCAGCTTGTCAGACTGACAGTCGTTGCACAGCCTTCTGTGGGGTGCAGAGCCAGCCAGTTCAGATGACATGGGTGCCCGCAGAGGTCTCCTAACACCACGGGGACACAGCCTCATGCTGTCCTTTTGCTCTCGCCTTCACTAAGCTTCACCCTGAGTGGCAGACCATGCTGGAACATTGGGTTTTCTTAGGTATTGAAGCCCAATGTGCTAGACGAGAACTAAGAAATCTCCAAGGCCAGAGGTGGGACATTTTGCCAGTGCTGGGGGGTGCCACACCCTTGGGCTAACAGGCCAACCAGGAGACTGTGAGGTCCAAGAAGTTACCTCTTACAACAGTGGTGTGAGCCCAGGGAAGCTGGTGGGGGGTGGGCACCACAGGGGAGGGAGGCAGGGGTGGGGTGGA